GTGTGTGTGTGTGTGTGTGTGTGTGTGTGTGTGTGCACAGAGAGTAACTGCAGGTGCACTTGCCTGTGGGGTTGATGTTCAGAATCTTCCCCAATGGCTCTTCCATCTTCTTTTGAAGCATGGGTTTTTAATCAGACCCACAGCTTGCTGACACAGCTAGTCTCTCTAGCCAGCTTGCTCCAGGATCCTGTCTCTGCCTTTCAAAGGCCGCCCAGCATCTGTGAGGGTTGGGGATCCAAGCTCCAGTTCTCACATTGGCCCAGAAGCTGCTCCACCCGCTGACTTTACATCACCCAGCTACAGAGAAGACGCTGCTAAAGGACCGACATCTGAAACATGCCAAGAACTTTCCAACAGTAAGAGAAAAACTAAAAAAGGGAGCCAGGCATATGCCCTTAATCTCAGCACCCAGGGGGCAGAGGCAGGCAGATTATCTTGAGTGTGAGGCCAGACTGATCTATATATTGACTTCCAGGCTAGCCGGGACTGAATAATGGGACCCTGTCCAAAAAACAAAAACAAACAAAAAATCACAGAAAAAAAAATAGAAACAAAGCCAAAGCTAAAAAAAAGAAAACCTTAAAAATGGGAAAAACAGCTGGGCGTTGGTGGTGCACGCCTTTAATCCCAGCACTCGGGAGGATCTCTGTGAGTTCGAGACCAGCCTGGTCCCCAGAGTGAGTGCCAGGATAGGCTCCAAAGCTACACAGAGAAACCCTGTCTCGAAAAACAAAAAACAAAAAACAAAACCAAAAAAACAAAAAGAAAAAACATCTCAGTAGACATCACCAATTACACCAATTAAATGTATATATGTGTGTGTGTGTGTGTGTGTGTGTGTGTGTGTGTGTAATTTGATGGCTCAGGGGTTAAGAGCATTGATTGTATGTATACACATATATGATGACAAACATACTAAAAACGCTCAACATTATGTCAAGGAACTGCAATTTCAATCAACACTGAGACACTACCACACACCTATTAGAATGCTAAAAATCCAAGAAACAGACGTCACCAAAACTGACTAAGACATGGACCAACAGGACCTCCCATTCCTTGCTGGTAAGAATGCAAAATGGTAAAGCCTCTCTGGAAGAAGCATGGTTGTGTGTTTCAAAGCTTAAAGGTCATCTCATCAGAGAAGTCAGCAATTGCCCTACATGTATTTATCCAAATGCAATAAAAACTTTGTGGGGGGCTGGAGGGATGGCTTAGCTACTAAGAACAGATACTGCCTTTCTGGAGCTGTCAAACTCCAAGAGGATTTGACGCCCTCTTCAGGCAGTGTAGACTCATGAACAAACTAGCACAGACACACACAATTAAAATTAAATATTTGAAAAACTTGCTTCTAAACAACAAAAAACCTGCATGGGAATATTTATAGCAGTATTCTTCAAAATTGCTCAGAGCTAGAAACAATCAAGACGTTATTCCATAGGTGGATGGATAAAGAAGACACAAACATATATTTAAATGTTATTCATTGATAGAAGGGAATGAATTATCAAGAAACAGAAAGATAGGGGGGAAATCTTTAATTATATATTGCTAAGTGAAAGAAGCCAGTCTGAACAGGTTTGACTCTGAGTTTGACTTGGAATATATCCTGATAGTCTGGAAAAACCAAACCAAAAATAGTAGAACTGGGGCTGGAGAGATGGCTTTGAGAGTAAGTGCATAGGCTTCTCTTCTCGAGGACCCCGGGTCTAGTATCAGCATAGGCATGGTGGTTTACAACTATTTGTTTTTTGTTTTGTTTTGTTTTTCCAGGGCTGTGTAACAGCCCTGACTGTGTTGGAACTTGCTTTGTAGACCAGGCTGGCCTCAAACTCACTGAGATCCACCTGCCTCTGCCTTCCAAGTGCTGGGATTAAAGATGTGTGCCGACACCACCCAGCTGGTTTACAATTTTCTGTAACTCAATCCCAGAGGCTGTGGTGCCCTCTTCTGGCTTCCTTGGGGAGTACACACAGGTGGGGCACAGACATACATGCCAGCAACACACACACACACACACACACACACACACACACACACGACAGAGAGAGAGAGAGAGAGAGAGAGAGAGAGTATCCTAATGAGACAACCCATTTTAGCTCCACCTCCAGTTAAGACAACTGTGTGGTATACATGCTTCTTTATTAGTAGTCAAAATAATGAGTGGAATATCAAATAACTGCCACAGTTTTGCAGTGCTGAGTATAATTTCTTGAGATGTTTGTTACGAGTAACACCTACAAAAAGTATGTGTGCTCTCCAGCGGTGGTAAACCAGCTACTGCTAAGCCTTTTGCCTACATTCTTCTTGACGGAAATGCTGCTTTTCAGTGAGAGGCTAAGGAAGTAATAAATTTTCCCAAGTTCACAGACTTCCTGAATTCTATCCATGGAGCCTGGGGAGGGGAGAAGGAAGGGAGGAGAGGGCAGGAGTCCGGTATAACAGGCCCCGAGCACTTGCACAAAAACCTGCACTGTGCAACTGATCTAGTTGGGAAAAGGCCTAAGCTAAGGCCAAGCTTTCATAATTAATAGTAAGTCTCTGGGTCATTATTTGCTGCCTGGCAATCCAAAGAAAGTCCAACAAGAAAGCCTGTGATAACTTGGGAGGCAGAGGCAGGCAGGCCTTGTGAGTTTGAGGCCAACCTGGTCTACATAATGAGTCCCAGGCCAGGCAGGGCTACACAGTGAAAATGCAATTAATTAAATTAAAAAAAGAGTTTCATTAAAGATACCCAACAACTGGTTACTGGTCCCCAATTAAGGATTACATGTCAGCACAGTCTAGGGCCTGGACCCAGAGCCCCCTACACTAAACTACACAGCTGCCCAAAAAGTTATCTAATCTGTTATTTGGGGTTTAAGGCCTAGAAGCTCAACTTGATCCTGCTGAAAAGATGGAAGAGAGAAACTCCAGACTCCTAGAGTCACTCAAACTTAACTTGTGCTTAGCTATTTCAATTGTTGGGAATAATTTACAACATGGTATCAAGAAGTCGGTAACTGTCTCTCTCTCTCTCTCTCTCTCTCTCTCTCTCTCTCTCTCTC